GAGAAATCCGAGGCTGCAAACCAATTGTGTTTTAAGAAGGGGGGGAATGCCAAAAATCCTAGTAATTATGTCAAAAGCTGGCCTCAGGTTGCACTCCTGTGGCTGATTCTGTACAATGTTCAACATATTTTTTTAATTTGACTTATCAGACAATTTCTATGTAGGAATGTTTTATTACTTGAACATGGGGTTTTGGAAACTATGTAATTAAGAACCCTCTTTTTTTGTCCAACATTTTGAGACTTCCCCCAAACTTGAATGTTAAAAAAAGTCTAACAGTATAACAATAGTTAATTTTAAGGTACTTCTAATTAAACCTTGTACATTGCATTTAAAGTAAAAAAAAATTCATATCAAATCTGTAAAGCTTGACTTTGTATTTTGTGCATGCATGTTTCATTTCCCAATATTTAATATATAGAACTATGATGTACAGGAAAAACATCTTATGGGGTGTAGATGTTATGGATATTTTAGTCCATTGTATTAAAGTTGCATAAATAGCTAATGATCATTGAAATGAGTGGCTGCAAGTGTGTTATTTTAATGGGGGGATTGGGGTTTTTTGTGTGCCATAAAATGCAAAAGTGCTCTGTTCCACACTGAGATGTTCGTGAAAATATAAAATCAGGATGCATGTTGTTTTTTGATAGCTACTGGACTACTCGGTAATATAAAATGGAAACTGTGTGCTGATTTCATTAATAACAAACTGTATCTAAATAACACTTACTTTGATTTTTCTGACATTTTCAAACTTACTTTTTGCGTCCTGTGTGGAAAACTGTTTGAATTGAATGTCCACTGATTTCATCTCACGTTGGCTTGCTGCAAACTACAGCCTGTATATAATAACCCTGTCTGAGATGGAGATTTGATGCATGTTTTAAACCATTTAAGTATTTTTTTATAAAGAAGTACACAATAAATTTTGTGCATGGGCCACGACTCCACTCGTTGTTGATGTTTTTGCTGATTGATAATGAGCTCATATGATCTTGCATAGCATTCCACACGTTTTATCATTGAGAATCAGCTCCCTTTTAAAACCTTCTGGCTTTCAAACCTTTAGACCACCCAAAGGATAAAGCACAACAACAAAAACAAACCAGAACAGATTTGGAAAAACCAGGTTAAGGCGTCTCCCACTTCCTGGTTCATCTGTTTTCCTTTTAGCCCACCAGCTCTTCTGTTTCTGTCTGTTCCCAAATGTTTAACATATATACATATAGTCTAATCCAGCCTAGGACGCTGAGAAACCAAAAAACCCTTTGTTGGTATATGTCTAATTATGTCATAACACAACACGAACTGTTTTATTTCAATTTTACGGGCAAATGGTCAAGTCAGACTGTCAGGGAGGTTTCAGCTTTAAACTTGGCAGGTGAAAAGGCGACAGGAATGAAGGAAACGCCACACAAACATGTAGCTGTTTTGTTCTAGAGACAGGTCTTTAGAAGAAGAAAAGAGATTGGATTTATACCCCATGGCCCTTCACTACCCGAAGGAGTCTCAGAGCGGCTTACAATCTCCCCCCCCCCACAACAAATTTAGAATCCAGTGGCACCTTTAAGACCAACAAAGGTTTATTCAAGGTATGAGCTTTCGTGTGCAAGGCACAGTTTATTAAATATGTTAGAATGGCAGGCAAGGTTCAAACTTATAGGCAGAGAATGAACAGCAAATTAACAGGCAACGTGTATGGAAGGGACCTCATAATGATAAAATGTGAGGCTAGGTCTGCAGCAGCGAAAATAAACACATTATGAAATGATCACAAGTGAGCAGCTGGTGAAGTCTTCGGCCCAAAGGCTATGGTCTATTTTAGGTCTCGCTTTCTGGACCTTTGAACACAAAGATTGGCAATGACCCATTCCCATGGCACACAAGTCGCAAGGTGTGGTATGATTGTCTCGGGGGCAGGTTGGGTGCCCCATCCCCCGAAATTGTTGATCATCCCCAAGAGTCACTTCCAAAGACTTTCTGTGTGCACACAGCAGGGGAAATGTGTGCACACATTTGCAAAACAGTGACAAGACCCTCATTCCTAGAGGATCAACCCTCCACCAGGAGCAGCCTTTTGGACCGCAGAAGGTGGCCTTTCCCCTCCACAGAAAAGACAGGCGTCTGGTGGGCACCAACCCTTGCGTGTCACGCTTTCACCTGCAAAGTGGATACTAGAGCTGGTGCAGGCTTACGTGGATCACACAGTGCTGGGTCCAAATTCACCAACACCAAAGAAGCAAAGAATGGGGAGTAGGTTGGGTGTGTGTGTGTGTTACTGTCCTTTTGATATAAAAGTTTATTAGCTACTGTCTTCATACAAATCAGACTTTGGGAAGGCAGAAGACAAAAAACATGGAAGTTATAACAGAACTGGATGGTTAGATTAGGTGATACACGGGGTAGCCACCAGAAGCCAAATTAGATGTTGTTGCCATCCTAGGGGGTAAGTATGGCCCCACGTGGGGATCATCTTGTTCTGGTTGAGGGACCCCTAAGATGGTGGGTGGCAGTGGTGGCAGGAAGCGTTTACAAGTCACGGGCAACTTATGGCGTTTTCAAGGCTCGAGGAGTTCAGAGATGAGTTGCCACTGCCTGCCTGCCTGCCTCCCAGACTTCCTTGGCGCCCCCCCTCCAAATACGAACCAGGACCAACCCTGAGCAATGACAAGACTGGGCTGCCTGCGCCATCCCTGGCAAGGCAAGAGTCGAGCCCCGGTGGCCTCTCATCCGAGCACCACTGGCCGGGGCCGACTCCACTTGGCATCCAAGACCTGGCAAGGTCGGGCTAAGCCTGAGCCAAGAGGTTAATAATGTGACTGCTAAATTCAGTATCTTCCAAAACAAACCAGGACTGAAAATCTTGAACACAACAGGAGCATAATGTCTTTTTATTAAGGCCAACAATATCACAGGCCAGTAAACAAGCTTTCAAGTTCCCCCAAACAGCTGGATGGGCAAGGAAACAAACCTCTTCAAGGCGATGCAGGTGCTGTCAGCAAGGGGAAATTAAGGCAGGAGAACGGAGGGACTCTACTGGCATTCTTGGGAGTACGCTCATCGACCAACATGGCAACAGCCAAAGTCAACGTGAGGGAAAAGGCATGGCTGACAAGAGTAACAGTGAAGTATTATGGATGGACTTCCCTAGAGCCCAAGAGGAATCGCTGGCTTTCGGCACAAACACATGTGGGAGGTCCTGTGAAAACGACAGGATCTGGAACTTGTGCAGAGATCCCTTCGATACCTGCAATGCCTCAAAAACCGCCTCTTCATTCCCCCCCCCCCCCCCAGCTTTTGGCTATGTTTTTTAGAAGGAGAAGGAGAAGAAGAAGAGGAGGAGGAGATTGGATTTATACCCCTGCCCTTCACTACCCAAAGGTGTCTCAGTGCTGCTTACAAACTCCTTTCCCTTCCCCTCCCCACAACAGACACCCTGTGAGGCTGAGAGAGCTCTTGACAGAAACAGAGAGCTCTTTTTCAAGGACAGCTCTTGTCAGAACTATGGCTTGCTCAAGGTCATTCAGCCAAGATGCAAGTGCAGGAGTGGGGAATCGAACCCAGCTCTCCCAGATGAGAGTCCGCGCACTTAACCACTACACCAAACTGGCTCTCTAGTGTCAAATGACTCATTCAAAGTCCGAAGTTGCTACTCTAGGCATAGGAAGATAGTTTGCAGGATGGAGGGTCAGTTTGTAAAGAATGCCCTTTCTACATGCAACGTTGACTTCTTAATTTTTGGGATCCAGCTCAGTTTAGAATCTTTCCCAATGCTGCTGCATATCCTCCATTTAACTGATTGCCCCCCCCCCCAGTTTCTAGCCCCAGGAAACTCTGTTCTACACCAATTTTGCAAGAGATTCCGTGGCACACTAAGGCACATATTTCCGCACTAGGAAAGCTGACAGGGCCTCTGTGTTGCCCTTGACTGTCCCTGTGCCCTGTAGGCAGGGAAGAAGAAGCCGGATTCATCCTCCAACCAAGGAAGAGGAGAGGTTGAGACCCCGCCAGCTCCAGCGCAAAAGCTCTCGGCTGGAGCAGGGGGGATGCCCCTCCAAGAAGGGGCATCTTTAAGACCAACAAAGCTTAATTCTGGTATAACAAATAATTAACGAAGTTTAATTCTGGGTATAACAACTCAAACCTTGTTCTGTTGTCTCAGACCAGCATGGCAACCCACCTGAATCTAACTCCTAGGCTAGACTGACCGCTGCGCTGACTCTTTGGAAGGCACCTTCATATGCCAAAGGAAACACTCAAGAGCACATTCCTGAGGGACCTCTGGATTCCCTGGAATATTTTCCCTAGAACATTATTTTCAACGAATGTACAAAAAACAAAACAAAAAACCACCCAGATTTTAGCTCACCATTCTACTTATGTGAAGGATTAGACAGTGAAACTTCTTCCCTACATGCTGTGTCAGAAAGAAGAAGAAGAAGAAGAAGAAGAAGAAGAAGAAGAAGAAGAAGAAGAAGAAGAAGAGAAGAAGAGGAGGAAGAAGAGGAAGAAGAGGAAGAGGAGGAGGAGGAGGAGGAGGAGATTGGATTTATTCCCCTTGCCCTTCACTACCCAAAGGTGTCTCAGAGCGGCTGACAAACTCCTTTCCCTTCCCCTCCCCACAACAGACACCCTGTGCGGCAGGTGGGGCTGAGAGAGCTCTTGACAGAAACGGCTCTTTTTCAAGAACAGCTCTTACCAGAGCTACGGCTTGCCCAAGGTCATCCAGCCAGGTGCAAGCGGAGGAGTGGGGAATCAAACCCGGTTCTCCCAGATTAGAAATTGGATTTATACCCCTTGCCCTTCACTACCCAAAGGTGTCTCAGAGCGGCTTAGAAACTCCTTTCCCTCTCCCTCCCCACAACAGACACCCTGTGAGGTAGGCAGGGCTGAGAGAGCTCTTGACAGAAACGGCTCTTTTTCAAGGACAGCTCTTATCAGAGCTACGGCTTGCCCAAGGTCATCCAGCCAGGTGCAAGTGGAGGAGGAGTGGGGAATCAAACCCAGTTCTCCCAGACTAGAGTCCTCTGTGCACTTAAAGACTACACCAAACTGGCTCCTTCAATAGGCGTGTGTTGAGAGTGAGCCGACTGGGGGGCTGACAGTCCCCTCCAACTCTGTGATTCCATGATCTGACCCTAGGAGCAGTTGGCGCTTATGTAAGAGGGGGGACAAAGGGGACTTTCCACCTGCACCCCCCTTCCTGCACAGGAAGGCTCTTCTCCGGCACACACATTCTCTCTACATCTATTTCTACATATGGCTTATATTGTGTTCTTCTGTGTATAACCAAAAAAACCTCACACTTGACAAGTTACAAACATGGCATGTTAAATTAAGGCAATTTATATGTGCAAAACAGGGGCCGCTCGAGTCACCCATTAGAAGCAGGTACTGGTTTACATTGTCTGTGATGCAGGAAATACGCACATACACACGGAAGGACGGCCAGCTTGTGGCCCAAGCAGGCCTCGTTCTGGTTCCTCTGCGAGTGGGCCAGGGCTTCCTACTGACCCACAATCGCCAGGAGTAAGCGCCTGTAGTCCCCAGTGGTGTCGCTGGATATCATGGTGCCCAAAGTCTTCTGGTACATCTGGGTGAACAGCTGCTTGATTTGGACGAGATCAATCTGTGCCAAAAGGAAGAGCAAAGGTCTATCAAGGCTGCAGGAGGGGAAGCTTCTGTGGGAACCAGGGACTGATGACCGTGAACTTCTGGCTAAGCTGCATCCCAGACCCACGCAAACAGATGCACGGGTATTAGCAGAACAAAAGGCTAGTTCTACATAGGAGGGAGGGAGAGGGGGGGCACTTCCGCACTGGCATTTTTGTCACTCGTTTGTCCCTGTTGCTTCAGGGTTTCCCCCCTCAAAGTGTTTTGCTCTCTCTAATAGTCCCAGAAGGAGCAAAACACATGTGGACTGGGGAGGGGGGACCCAAAGCAACAGGGACAAAAGAGTGACAAAGATGCCAGTGCCGAAGTGGGCAGAGAGAGAGAGAGAGAAGGGCACACACACACACACACACACACACACACGCACACACGAGGGCTGGGTTCCCTCCTCTGGACTCCACACAGGGATTATTCTCCCCGTAGCTCTCACTGTTGCTGTGGACTCAGAGGCATCCACAGGGAAGTTTCCCCAGCAGCACTTGTCTTGCTTCAGCTCCCCCTGCCTGCTGCCATCACCCCCGAACTCCAAGGATGTCAGCTAGCTGCCGTTTATGTGTATTCTGCCCTTCCCGCTTCCCGCCTTGCTTGCAGCTCAGCAGCTTGCCGTAAACATGCAGGGAGACCGTGGGAACTAGACGCGGTTATCAGTCTGGCCTTGTCAGGTAGGGGAGGGCTCGGGGTCCACATTTGGTGTGAATCTTTCTGCTCTCAGGATATCCCGCGACTCTCCCGCTCATTATGTAATCTCCCGCCGGGAGTCTTCCCCCCGCGTGCACGCTCGAAGTTCATTTGCTTAGCTAGTTGCCTTGCCCAGCTATATGTATTGGGATGGTCCCGCCCTCTAGTTATTCCTCACAATAATCCTGTGGACCATGGTACCAGTCTTGTGCACTAATAAAGCATAACGCTTCTTAGGAAACGTGTGTGAAGAGTTACTTGCTGTGGAACCTGACAAAGAGGGCATTTTGGGGTGTTTTTAAAAAAATCAGTAATACCTAGACTGCTATAACATAATAATTTAATCTATTGCAATAATGTACTAGTTCCTTCTTGCATGCTTTTGAGTGCGGACATATAAGGGAAAATGTGTAGTCTGCACACCTTATAACCCCATAAGGAAAAGAGCTATAGGTTTGTTCACATGTTTAAAAAAATGAAAGCTGGAACTAGTACACTCTGGCAGAATTTATCATAATGCTATAGCAACCTGTGAATAATGATTTTTTTAAAAAACTTACAAAAAGCCCTCCTGTTATTTATTCCTCAGCTTCAACTTTAGGGTTAAGTGTTTGGTGAACCAGCAACTATCCTCTGGGGCTGGTTCTGCTGGTAGGAATTTTTAAAAAGCCTTCCTTAGTCACAAGAAGGTTAGGGACGACTTGAGCTTGGCAAGCTCCTTACCCAGAATAAAACACTGTGTGCCGCCAAACAGCATTGCTGGGCCCAAACACAATTTCTCATTGCTATAAACAGATTCCCACGTTTCTGTGGCCCTGGCTGCTGCGCCCCTTGCCTGACTTGCTCTCTAGCTGGAAATCCTCAAGGATGCAGGAAGCTGCAGTATGGACATTGGAAAGAGACAGGGACTGAAAGAGGAAGGAGGGTTTCACTCCACTGGCCTGGCCTGGCTTAGGTGGCCAAGAGCCTCAGAAGAGCCCTGCTGGGTCAGACCAGGGAGGGTCCTGCTAGTCCAGCGGCCAAGCGGTTGCCCTGGAGGCCGAGGCCTTTCCCTGATGCCACCTCCAAGCACTGGCCTTCAGAGGCTTTCTGCATACAAACACGGAGGTTCCTTTCTGCCACTATGACTAGGAGCCACTGATGGAACTCTCTTCAACGAATCCATCCAACCCACTTTTAAAGCCAGCTACATTCATGGCAGTGAGTTCCACGGTTGAATCACCTGTTGAGTCCAGAAGTATTTCCGAGTGTCTGCCCCGATTCTACCGCCCATAAACATCACTGGATGCCCCAGAACTCTAGTATTTTGGGACAGGGAGTCCAGTCTCTCCACCGGTGCATCTTAGCCACTCACGGCCCCCATCCAGATAGCTAAATCTGTGGATCAGGGCCACGTGCAGGCTAAAGAGATTTCTTAAATTAAACACATGGGGGGGGGGGTTTAACACCCACCCCAATACAATTGTGTGTCTGCACATGCACAGACAATGCACTTCATTGTCTGTGTGGCCGGTGGACGCCAGCAGTGGCGCCAGCAGCCACGGCTGGCCCAGGGGGCAGTGAGGGTGGATGCCTGCTGCTAGGCTCAGCGTTGGGTGAGGGGGCCTGGAGCCTCGCCAGCTCAGCGATGGGGGCGATATGGGGTCCCCCCTCCCCCTGCAAATCTCACAGCCCCCCCCCCCTGTACTTTTACAAACTTTATCTTGTCTCCCCTTGGCCATCTCTTTTCTAGACTCCCTCCATCTCCTTGCCATCTTTCCCTCCTTTCCTTTTCTTTCCCTCCTTTCCTTTCTCTCCTTCCCTTCTCTTCCTTCCTTCCTCTCTTGTCTTCCTTTCTTTCTCTTTCTCTTCTCTTCCTTCCTTCTTCCCTTCTCTCTTTCTTTCCTGCCTTCTTCTCTTCTCTTTTTTCCTCCTTCTTCTCTCTCTTTCCCTCTTCTTTCCTTCTCTTTCTTTCCCTCTTTCCTTCTCTCTTTCTATCCCCTTTCCTTCCTTCTTTCCTTCTCTTTCTTTCCCTCTTTCCTTCCTTCTTTCCTTCTCTCTACTCTCTCTCTTTCCTTCCCTCTTTCCTCCTTCTGTGGCCCAACTCTAGTGAGAAGGGGTTTAAACTTTAAACCCCTTCTCTCTTTGCCCCCCCCCCCCCGCAGGCCAGCTGGGGAAGGAGAGGGGAGGCTTTTGAAGATGCCCCTCTCCCTTTTTGCTTCCCCTTCTGACATCACTTCCGGTGATGTCAGGGGGCGTGGCATATGCTAACAGCCTAGTAGCTCATTAGCATACCACATGCTAATGCGTTCCTGCAGCTCTTTTTCTACGAAAAGACCCTTGATAACATTATAAATGGTGGGGAGGGAAACTTCCAGCCAGCCATCATTTCTCAAAAGTATAGCCCAAAGTAACTCTCTTTGCTTGCATTTTGTTGAGCTGTAATCGCACAGAGAAGTGTTGAAAAGCAAGTGCCCCAACATGGAAGCTGTCTGCTTAAAGAAGATGCCCGGGTCAGGCACCTCGCATCTTGCATTCCACCCCGAGACACAAACAATGGTACTTAAAAAAAAAAGTCTTACCTCACTACGCGTGACGATAATTCTCACGAGGGTCGAGTCGTCTGTGCCAGCTCCTTTCATGGCATGGTAAAGCCTTTCAGCAAAGAAGGCTGGGCGATTCAGGGCACACTGCACTGCAAAGAATCACACACACACACACACAGTCATTTCACGCCTCACAGCCCAGCATCATTTCCAGAACTGGGATTCACCTTTAACTTCAGACTGCTTTATTTTTACCTTCTAGGTGTCTAGATATTTTGACTGGCACTTCTCTCTGTCCCCCGTCCCCCCCCCCCGTGGTTGCAGCAGCATTGGAATGCCCCGCCTTAAGAACACACACACACACACACACAAGGGAGGCAGATGCTGTTAACAATCGACAGAGGGAGGCGAGGGAAACACATTCTGGAACATTGATCCTGGGGGGCTTCTACTTCATGAATGGAAAGGTGCAGGAAGGGGGTGGGGAGTAAGCAGCTCTGGGGCATTAGCAGAGGTTGCAGAAGGATGTTGGATTTATGATGGATTATGGGACAATTGGGACAATATGGGACAAAAGAAACCCACGGTGTATAAAGGCTTACACAAAATTGTACAATAATCATCAATAAAGCATAATGTATTAAAATATGTGTTATGTATTAGAATCTAGGATACATACTATCCACAATATATTAATCAAACCGAACTATATTTCATGAAACAATTTTATAAGCTCTATTATCCAAAATGCAAAGCTCCACAATATTTCAGCTCATTAGCACTCACATACAGATTGTAACGTTAATATATCAACGTATAAGAGTCAAAAAATGATGTAGAAAATTATATGGCTGCCTGCGCCCGCCGTGCAAGGCTTCCAAAACTGTAATACTAATCAACAGTAATGTAACTCGATCTTGGCATCAATAATGTAACTTGATCTCAGTTATGGGGAAAGGCTCCCGATGTTCCTTGTTTCAGCTGAAGCCTTTAGCACAAGCCATAAAATCCTCCTGAAGTCCAAAAGCTCCAAAAAGGGACACAAGTTGGCAAAAAAGTTCATCCGATTTTCACCGCACGGACAGCACCATTAATGGTACTTCCATGGGACACAGTTCTTCAATAGTCAAACCTCTGGCATTCCAGTACGTATACGACACATCCCAAAATATTGCCTAAAGTAAAGGCATGTGATGGGAAACAATAAGTAATATGTAGTTTAATATGTTATACTTTATACTGTATTTGTTTGGTGTAGTGAGAGCCAGTTTGGTGTAGTGGTTAAGTGTGCAGACTCTAATCTGGGAGAACCGGGTTTGATTCCTCCACTTGCACCTGCTGGATGACCTTGGGCAAGCCGTAGTTCTGATAAGAGCTGACCTTGAAAAAAGAACCATTCCTGTCAGAGCTCTCTCAGCCCCAACGACCTCCCAGGGTGCCTGTTGTGGGGAGGGGGAGGGAAAGGAGTCTGTAAGCCGCTCTGAGACTCCAAGTGAAGGGCCGGGGTATAAATCCAATCTCTTCTCTTCTTCTTCTATTGATGATTATCGTACAGTTTAACAGTTTTGTGTAAGCCTTTACACACAGTGGGATTTATGATGGGAGCAGAGAGAGAGAGAGAAGGACACACGCGCGCACACGCACACGCACACACGAGGGCTGGGTCCCCTCCTCTGGATCCTTCCAGTTTAGAAGATACTTCCACTGTGGCCTGGTTAATACTACAGAACCCAAGTTTCTGCCTCTACCAAGAGGCAGCATTCAGGGGCAGAACATTTTGAGGCATGCTAAAATTCCAGCAACATCCTCCCTCATAAGAACGTAACCAGAGAGCCCTGTGGGATCAGACCAGTGACCCACCTAACGCCACCGCCTGTCTCACACAGAGGTCCACCGGCTGCTGCCCTGGAGGGCAGAGGTCTGAGGCCTTCCTCTGGTGCTGCCTCCGAGCGTGACTCCCTTCACTCCACGTGGCCAGGAGCCACTGAGGGGCCTCTCCTCCGCCAGCCTGTCTAAACTTGGGGAACACCCGTGTCTGGACACAGGAGGAGACACAGACTGAACTCGCTGAGAAAGTGGTGGTTTTCCTGCCTCCTGGACTGTTGCGTTTCTCACTTACTATAGAAACACCTCAAGGCAGTTACGGAGCTTCACTCCTGCTACCTCTGCCGCGACTGCTTTCAGGGAGCCCACAAGTGGGAGGAGGCTCTCATAATGCAGCCTCTGACCTTCTTAAAGGGAACCCCAACTTCCGGGCTGCTGCTTGGAGAACAAGTTGAAAGAGAGCGTTCCATCCTGAAACGCACGTTAATCATGCAAATTAAGACAATTTGCCTCTGATCTCCTGCTTTGCATAGTATCAGGGCAATCCTAAGCAGGTCAGATCAGAAGTAAGTTCCACTGGCTTCTGTGACGCTTACTCCCTGAGAGCCAGCCTGGTGTCGTGGTTACTGGGAGAGCCGGGTTCAATTCCCCACTCCTCCTCCGCTTGCACCTGGCTTGCACCTTGGGCAAGCCGTAGTTCTGACAAGAGCTGTCCTTGAAAAACAGAAGTCTCTGTCAAGAGCTCTCTTAGCCCCACTGACCTCACAGGGTGTCTGTCTGTTGCGGGAAGGGGGAGGCAAAGGAGTTTGTGAGCTGCTCTGAGACTCCCTTGGGTATAACTCCATCCTTCTCCTCCTCCTCCTCCTCCTCCTCCTCCTCCTCCTCCTCCCAGGAAAGTCATCTTCAGCTGCAGCCCTGCACTGCGACTTCTTTAGACACTGAAACTGTCATTGGGGGAAGTCTTCTTCAGGAGCTCCTGACCACCTCAAGTGCCCAACCAGTAATTACTGGGATGCCTCAGCCACCAAAAGGTCCTCTTTGGAGAGTCTAAATCAAGACCAGCCTCTTACCAATTGCCTTCAAGCCACGCTCGACATTTCCAGAAAACTCCCGGCCGATGGTGCTCAGGAGGTCACGGTTCGCAATCTGCAAAGAGAAGAATGGAAGGTCTGGGAGGAGGCCAATCCAGCCCCATTTCTGTCCAGCGGTCACTGACCTGCGGGGCCTTCCCAAGAAGAGTCACGCCCTTCAAGGGCTTAAAAGAGGGCAGCTCTTCTCACGATGCCCCTGCACCTCCCACAGGAAACCCTGTCAGAACCCACCCCACCCCCCGGCGGGGCAGACTACCTGAGAGTAGGCCTCAACAGTGGCTTTCAGCTGCGGGAAGCTTCTCGTAGCCAGGATCATGTTGAAGCAAGACTCATCTGTGCCTAGTTTCCCTTCACCGGCTTGGTAGAGGCGCTGAGCATCTTGTTGAGCCTTCTGGAAGTCCACTGTTTGATTCTCATCCCGATTACCCTGTGAGGGAAAACAAGCACCTCGGTAACACGCAGGGCACAGACCCACCTGCAGGCTGCCCTCCGGCTGACTCGGGGTCCTGCCGCTCAAGGGACTGGGGGCTGGGGAGCTACAGCAAGCAACGGGGCGTGCTACGTGCTCCTCCCAGTCTCGGCCTCTTTGTTGACACTACTGATCGTCTGTCTTTCTCACTAAGACTCGAGGTGGATCACGGTGCAAGTCCCAGGCAACCATTATGCTGAAACATCAAATCAGCAAAGTGACAGGACTGGAACCACACAGATCTGAAAGTATTAAGTATTAATGTCAGACTCGGACCCTTGCCTTTGGAGTTGAGGCACTGGATCTCTGTGATTGCAGTCACGGGTTTCTGATGTACATGGCTTTGCCTGTTACCATCTATGCTTCCGCTATTTCCGTTCTCATGCCTATTGTTCCCCTGTTGCACATAACACCTGATGGCCTGTTATCAGTCTGTCTGCAAGGTCCCTCCTCTGCCATTCTTGCAGAGCTCGGTTGAGACATGTCTGAGTGATCGTAGATGAGCTGCGCTATGAAACACTTATCAATGTGAACCTCCTCCAGAGGCCGGTGGAAGTTCTCGCTTTTCAACCTTCTCACGGTCTTTGAGAAAGCCTGTCATGATAAACATTCTCACCATTATAATTGTCTTGTATCACTGCACCTGATTACTATGTAATGCTGACGTATGAATGAGGGCTGGACCAAAGTTCTTGTAATTTCCAACTTTGTAATATTCTTCAATTCTGGCAAAGAGTTTCAACCTGAGAGCAACTTTTATGATCTCTAAAATAAAGCCTTATTAAAAGGACTTATTTCATCTGAGAGTTACTGTGCAAGCTGACAATTAAGCATAACATGTTAAGCAAGCAGTAAACAGTATTTATTTATTTATTGTGTGGCAGTTACACACAGGAAGCATACAATAATACAATAATTGATACAACAGGTATGTAGACCAATTGGGCAACTCCCTAAATACCAATATCCAAATTTTCAGTCCACTCAATCTCAAAGAGCTCCGTCACATTTCCCTAGAAAGCACGATGCTCACATTCCTGTGACAGACAGAAAATAGTTTGGCAGGCTGCACCACAATCGCATTCGGCTCCTGGTATTTTGCCCCATTTAAATAACAGGTTTAACACAACTGCCAAAGCCTGTTCGTATTCTTTCAGCCATATTTCATACTTTACATGGCAAGTCAAATCCTGAGGGCCTCTCGTTGGTACTTATCTGGTTATGGATATGAGGTGCAACTGATTGCATCCATTTTCACACAACCATTCATCCTGTAGACATCTGCAGAAGCCCCTCAAAGACCCCATTGTCAGAGCCGCTTAAACACAGGCCTGATTCTAACAGGACATGAGATGTAAAACTCTCAAATCAGACTTTGGTTCATTTCTGTCTATTTGCAGTGGATATCGATTTTTCTCTGTTTGCGTTCGGCCACTGAGGGATTGCAATGTCAAAGTACAATTTTTGGTCAAGAGTAAATATTCTGTCTGTTGACTGTCTATTGACAGGGGAGATGGGAGGGGTGTGTAATGAGTAAGTTGGCATAGTGGAGCAGACTTACTTTTATTTAATCATTAATCAATCTCATTTAGCACTGAACATTCATTCTCATCTAATTATAAGATGTCCATTAGTTGTTTTATGACAAGCTAAGCTTAGACACAGGATATATATTCACTGTACACATAGAATGGAGATATAGGGGCTTCCCAGGATGAGCTTTTCTAGAGATAGCTGAATTGCGGGGAAATTAGATGAGTCTGATCAGTTGAGTTCACATAAAGGCACATGCTTAAGATCTCAGTAACCTGGATAAATGGGGACAAGATAGTGGGGACTTTTGGGAACTCTGTTAATGATCACCTAGAACAAATATGAATGACGGGAAAACTATATTTGAAAGTAAATAGAATGTTTGGACAATTAGGACGACCTGACACAAAGGGGAGGATACTGTCACATGGGAAGGCCTTAGTTATTAATTGATTGATTAAGAATGCAGACAGATTGGGCAATTCTCCTTAAATACTAATATCTAAATTTTCAGTCCACTCAATCGCAGCTGGGGAGAATACAAAGAGCTCTGTCACATCTCCCTGGAAAGCATGTTGCTCACTTCCCTGTGACGGACGGAAAACAGTTTGGCAGGCTGCACCACAATCGCATTTAGGCTCTGGTATTTTGCCCAATTTAAACAACAGGTCTGCACAACTGCCAAATCCTGTTCATATTCTGTTAGCCATTCCATACTTCACATGGCAAGTCAAATCCTGCAGGCCTCTCATTGGCACTTATCAGGCACTTATTAGATATCGGCTGGAACTGATCGCATCCATGTTTGTAACCGTTCATTCCCTAGATCGAAATTTTGTGATTGCAGGATTTGTGCAGATCTTACTGCTGGGTGTCAGGATCTTAGTCTGGATAGGCCTGCATCAGCCATGTCTTTGTGGATGGGCAACTCTCTGTTTTCAGTTATCTTTCTATATTCACAAAGAATAGCGTCTTGTCTTTGGAGATGCGGGGGAGCATTTACAGAGTATTTAGGACATCCTCAAGTGCTTTCCTTCCCCTTGCCGGGGTGGGGACAGTTGCCCGAGGCCACCAAGTGAGGTCTCGTCAGTAGCAAGATTTGAGCAAGGGATTTACCGATGTACAGCTCTCGGCCACTCCGCTGCAGCCAATCAAACTCCATTTTGGCCAAACTCCAGAGACCTTCCTTCCTTCCTTCTTCCCCAAACTTGCTGGTCCTTCCCCATCATTTCTGCACTAGAGGCTTTCTGTGCTGTGCTGTGCTCCAGGGAGTTAACTGCCCCCTTGCTCTTGGGTGGCCTCTGTAACCTGACAGATACCTATAAAACAGGGATTACTGCTACTCCTGCAAGGAACGTCTGTGGAGACCCAGGAAAGAAAAGCATTACAGTCCTTGCTGCTTGCCCCTCAAGTCTGACGGCACTCGGGCACCCTGTTTGCAAACTGGCATCAACTACTCTGCAGGTCACCTCTTCATTTCAGCTCGAAATTCTTGCCTATTCAATATTAATGTCTTAAGAATCTGACTGTGACACAAGCGGAAAGGAGGCTGCCATGATGAATACTGGAAAGCGCCACCAAGTTGCAGCCGAGTTACGGCGACCCCTATGGGGTTTCCAAGGAAGGAGACGCTCAGAGGCGGTTTTGCCAGGGCCTGCCTCCGTGTCGCACACCCGGGACTCCCTGAGGGGGGGGGTCTCCCTTCCAAGGACTCGGCAGAGCCAACCCTGCTGAGCTTCTGAGACCAGGCCGGCCGTTCAGGTCACCAACCGTTGAGACGGAAGAACCTCTCACCTGGCACATGGATACAAGTAGCCGCTCAAAGTGTCCTGATGTGTCCGCCCGAATATCGTGCTCAATGTCTCTTCCAAACTCACTCTTGTAACAACGGACTATTTCTTGAATCTCCTGGTTTGTCCTGGTGCAAAGAATCTCGATCAGCACGCTCTCCTGGGTGCCTGCACCCTGCGGATAGAGGAAAGGAACAGGTGCTGAAAAGGTAACCGTGCAAAACCCGGCAGGAAAAGTCTCCTGTCCCAGCCCCAGAGAGCTACCACAGTAGACCCTTTTGCTGGCTGGGTGCCGTAACAATAAAATTCATTCATTCACAGTAGACCCTGCGCAAGCGCCATGGCTTCTCCATGCAGCTAGCGCAGGATTGCAACGTGCCGTGACCACAAAGCCCCTCCCCCCCAGGAGCGTGAGGTGAGCTGGCCCTCACAGGCGGGAATCCCCTGGTACAATACAAACAGGGCCCCCGCCCTCCCCCCCCAGTGCTGTTCCCAAGAGCTTCGTTCTTATGGCCAGGGTCCCCGGATCAATTTGGATGCTTTGATCCAGGCAAGAGTTCAAAGCAACATCAGCTTCTACCAGGGTGCCGGTAGGCTGTCCCACCCCCCCAGAATAATGTGGCCTAAGTTAGGATATACAATGTGATTAGCACTCCCTCTATGTAAACCGCCCAGAGACCCCCAAGGGGGTTAGGGCGGTATATCAAATCGAACAAACAAACAAATAAATAAATAAATAAATAAATAAAGCCACTCCTGATTATTGTGGCCTTCTGATAGTTGACATCTAGATTAGCTCAATGCAAAACCATACCTTCATTGCATACCGTAAGCTCCAGGCATCGTAGTAAGTGCCCGGCATGAACAACGCAAGGATCAGCTCCTCCATGTTTCCACTGAGCTCTGACTTCAAGTCCTTTATTAAATCCTGCACAATCAGAACAGCAAACGTCATAATTAACCGACCTTCTGGGCCCCCATTCCGCTTACTGAAGTCTATGCCACAATATCCTGCCTCTCTCCCCAGTGCGGACCCAAAGTGGCTGACATCGTCCTCACAGCCTCGCGAAGAAGGTGAGACTGAGACCAGTGTTCCCTCCGAGCTGAGTGAGTGTGAGCCAGCTCACAGTTTTTTAGCCTCTGGCTCACACATTTCTGTCTTAGCTCAGGAAGGAGGGCTCCTCCTGAGCAAACTAATCACAACTTTAATGCCAGTAGCCCACAAAGTAGAATTTTTTGCTCACAAGACTCCACAGCTTAGAGGGAGCATTGGGTGTGACAGCACCAGTGGGGGGATTTGAACCTGGGTTCCCCATATCCTAGTCCGACCCTGTCATCACCACCACACCACGTTGAATCTAACCTATCTATCTACCTAGTACTGCTCACACAGCAATAGTCCTGAGGAGAAAAGAGTATAAAATAAAGTAACACCTTACTTCGTATTATTCTTCTGATACTTAATTACTGCCCCTATAAATTTTGCCACAGAAATCAAATATCTCATTGGGTATTTCCATATTTTTAAATAAAGGAACAATCAAATTGGCCCTTAACTCATTAAGTTGTCATAGGGTCACATGTACAATAGTTTCAGCCTGTCATATGACCATCTCCATTTTCTATTTGAATATGGCACTTCTTAATATCTGCCCTCCAAGACCGCTGAAGGAAGGACATTCATCCTTTACAAAGTAAAAGCACTTCTGAGTTTTGGTACTGTCAGACAATAATAATACTTCAGCAGTTGCATCGGAAGGACAATACCCAAGTAGGATACTGGGCATACTCTATGAGTTGTCGAAGGCTTTCATGGCCGGAGTTCATTAGCTGTTGTAGATTTTCCAGGTTGTATGGCCATGGTCTTGGCATTGTAGGACCTGACGTTTCGCCAATAGTTGTGACTGGCATCCTCAGATGTTTCAAGGTGAGAAGAAAAATGGTAGGCAGGTTATTTATATCTTCTCAGGAAGGTGGGGTAGGGCTGAGTCATTATCTTGTAGGAGTTCGCCAGGCTGTGAACATGCTAATGGAGGAGCTTTCCTGAGGAGGGTCTTTTGTATATGGATTGTTTCCTGAGGAGGTTCTTTTGTATGTGGATTGGCTGCTGAAATTCTAATCTTATCTGTAGTGCTATTGTCAGACGTAGAACCTTTTGTGTTTTTCAGGACAGGAAACCATGCCCTATTTATTTTTAAACTCTCTTCTTTCCTGTTGAAATTGTGTTTATGTTTATGAATTTCAATGGCTTCCCTGTGTAATCTGACTTGGTAACTGGATGTGTTGTCCAGCCTTTCAATGTCTTGGAACAAAATACTGTGTCCTGTTTGAGTTAGGCTATGTTCAGCCACTGCTGATTTTTCAGGTTGGCCAAGTCTGCAGTGTCTTTTGTGTTCTTTTATTCTTGTCCGAATGCTACGCTGTGTGGTCCCGATGTAAACTTGTCCACAACTGCATGGTATGCGGTATACTCCTGCAGAAGTGAGGGGGTCTCTTCTGTCTTTTGCTGATTGTAGCATCTGTTGTATTTTTCTGGTGGGTCTGAATACTGTTTGTAGGTTGTGTTTTTTTCATAAGTTTTCCCATCTGGTCAATGATTCCTTTGATATATGGAAAAAACACTTTTCCTGTGGGAGACTGTTTTTCCTCAGTTGTTTGTTTTACCTTTGGTTTAATCACTCTTCTGATTTCATTCTTGGAGTAGCCATTAGCTTGAAGTGCATGGTTTCGATTATTCAGTTCGCCATTGAGAAAGTGCGGTTCACATATCCGTCTTGCACGGTTTACTGTTTTGATTATGCCTCTTTTTTGCCAAGGGTAGTGATTGGAGTTTTTGTGTAAATAACGGTCCGTATACCATATACCATGAAAGACACTGCAGACTTGGCCAACCTGAAAAATCAGCAGTGGTTGAACATAGCCTAACTCTAACAGGACACAGTATTTTGTTCCAAGACACTGAAAGGCTGGACCACACTTCCAATGACCATGTCAGATCACACAGGGAAGCCTTGGTTGTAACACCCTCCTTCCACTTTCTAAATGAATCTGCAGATGAAATGCCACTGACAACTACTCTCTGAGTGCAGATCTCCAACCAGTTCCCTATCCAGTCCACAGTTTACCCGTCAGAACGTCATGGGGAACCCTGTCAAAAGCATTACTGAAATCCAGGTCAACAACATCAGCAGCATTCCCTCCATCCAGCAAGCTCGCCACTCCATCAAAGAAGGAAATGAGGTTGGTCTGACAGGACGTGTTGGTGATAAAGCCGACTTCCCCGGATCACCAAGTTGTCCTTTAGATGCTCGCAGACTGATCCCTTTAAAATGTGCTCCAGTCTCTTCCCTGGGACAGAGGTCAGGCTGACTGGCCTGTAGTTTCCTGGGTCTTCCCTCCTCCCCTTTTTTTGAAAATTGGGATAACATCGGCCCTCCTCCAGTCTTGTGAGGAGGCAAAATTCAATGCCATACTTCTTCAATTTTTCCCATAGAGATTGTACTGAATGCTGATTTTAAGATCCATAAAGGCAATGACCAATTTGGTGTAGTGGTTAAGAGAGCGGACTCTAATCTGGGAGAACCTGGACTGATTCCCCACTCCTCCACATGCAGCTGATGGTGTGACTTTGGGTCAGTCACAAGTTCTCTCAGAACTTTCCCCTCAAAAGCAGTCCTCGAAAAAGCTCTCTCAGCCCCACCTACCTCACGGCGTGTCTGTTGTGGGGAGGGTAAGGGAAAGGGGATTGTAAACCGCTCTGAGACTCCTAGTGAAGGGCGGGGTATAAATCCAATCTCTTCTCTTCTTCTTTTTCAATATACTTTCTCCAAAACTCATATATTTGTCTACTAAATATTGAAGAGCATCACAATGATCAATAGTGCTTACTCCTTTCCGAAAACTAGCTTGCTCATTCCCGAGGATGTTATTTCCTTTGGCCCAGGATGTAAGCATTTCATAAGGGATCGCAGCATAAAGTTTTCCAAGGGTGGACAGCAAACTTACTGGACAGTGACTCGTTGGGTCCATTGGATCCCCCTTTTTATAAATCGGGACAATTATTGTACTAGACCAAACTTCGGGCCGACTTTGCAGTAGTAAAAACTGAGGCCAGAATCTGCACCCACCAGTCTGAGTTGATTTTAAGCAGTTCTGTTGGTATGAAGTCAGGACCGGGCCCTCTCCCCTCTGTGGCTCCTTAATCAAGATCTTAATCTCACTTGCCACTACTGGGGGGCCACTCCTTCATGTCTGGTGGCTGTTCTGCTCTGCGATCCGGTATATCCCCATTTTTATTTGTGAAAATATTTATTTGTAAAAAAGACTTCCCAAACAGCTGCTGGAATGTGGCAAGGTACAGGAAACTTTGTATTTAATCCTTTTGCTATTGAAGTCCAGAACAATTTATCATTTTTTGTTTTCACGGCCCAGAATAAACATTCCCATTTGTTCTTCTGAGCCTCAACTTCTTAATTTTCAATATTTTTTAATATTCTCTTTTCGGTTTCAAAATACTTGGCAAGACTCCTAATTGCTATTTTAAATGCCTTAGAATCACACCAATAATTTCTGCCCGGTATACTGTGCCCCTTGGACTTTACTCCGTCTGTTAGCAGCACAGGCCAGAAGAGGTCAATTAATTCAGCAAGAAGTTCCATATTTCCCATGCTCTTGATTGTTTGGGGTCCTAGAAGACTAGTTTGTATCACTTTCTCTTTCATCGTTTCTGGGCTAGGGCTATTTTCATTGCAGAGGGTACAAAGCGACAAAGATGTAAACGTAGTAATAAATGCCCTGGATAGTGGTCGCCAACCAAGTAGTCCATGACTTCCAAGGTGTCAACTCTTTTAAGGAGATCAGGAGAAAAAACAAAGTCATCTACTACACTTGCCCCTTTATGGTTTATACATGTATAATCTCCTTTTTCATCAAACTGATTACATCCATTTAATATCACTAGATTGTTCTTTGCTAACAAAGATGCAAACTATCTACCGGGACAGCTAATTTTCCTATCTTTGGATCTTCTATAATTCATAATTGGGATACCTTTTATCTGAGTTTTAAGGCATTTCAAAAAAAGTCCCCATTTGCTCGCCGACCCTGGCATTAAAACCAACAGCCAATAGTACCGGCGTTGCCGGATGAAGCATAACTTCTTTAACTGGTTCTAGCGCTGAGAGATCTTAAACTTGTGAACTTATGGCAAGAAATATTCATCAAAATTATAGAAAGTTCCTTGAAGTCCAAGAGTAATGCCACTGCATACAGTTACCTTTTCTTCGCGTTCCTATAATGGATACCCCCCCTTCCCTTCCTTGCCCTTATCTCATCTGTTTACAAAACGTTTGCATTCTCATTGGCAACACAGATAGTACTACTGCCTTCACTCTTGCTTCCTTTTTTACCTTTATTCCCCCTTTATGAAAAAATCTTCTATATATTTTGTCAATATATCTAATTTTTCAACGATTTCCCACACAGTATCAGAGCTAAGGAGTGTCTGAGTTGCCAACATTCCAAACCTATTTGTTGTTTTTTTCTGTTCTTTGATTCTCCCCCCCCCCCAAGAAGTTCATCTAAAATGGCTATGTGGGATGGAGAATGGGGGGGGGGGGGTCCTGAAGAAATATTTAAAGGGCTGGGGGGGTCATATCTCTATTTGTGAAAGAGGCAAGTTTCTATGGTAAAAAAAACCCCTCCATCTTACTTTGCTTAGAGAGCCCACAACCTTTTCCTCCCCATTATTTTATATATCACTTAATCTGGTAAGGCTTAATCGGTTTAACGAGATAAGATTGCTGAAATCAATTTAAAGGAGGTTTTAACTCCCTCATCTATAATTAATTCATTAGTTCCTGTTCTAATTTATGTTTAAACATCCCTTCCTCTCCCCACAAGAGGCGCCTTGTGAGGCAGGTGGGGCTGAAAGAATTCTGAGCAAACTGTGACTGGCCCAAGGTCACCTAGCAGGCTTCACGTGGGGGGAGGAGGCGTGGGCCATCAAACCTCCTGGTTCTCCAGATGAGAGTCCACCGCTCTTAACCACTACACCACACTGGGCAAGTGATGCACAAGTGGTGGCCTTCGCGGATCCCAGGATCCTATCGGCATCCATCACATGTCATGTCCCGCCTGCAAACAGGGGCAGAGGTCGAGCTGCAACTGGGCCCTGAAGCACAGCACTGTCAGTCCGGAACCTTGTAGCAAATGTCATTTCAGCACCTCAACCTTCTCTAGAGCTGTTAACACAACAAATGAACTTGGAAGGAAAAGAAAGACTGGACAATTATGTCAGTTTGTTCAACTAGTTAAACTCACAAGCCCTCCACCTTCCTTTCGGAGAATTCAGTCGTACCTTGCCATACATGGTCTTGAAAGCAGCCTTTATCTGTTGTCTCTGGCTATTCGAGCGGTTGGACACCACGTCAATGATTGCCTGTTCATCCGTCCCTAGGAAGTAAAAAAGTCTGTGCTCTGAATCTCCTTCACAGTGGATTTCCATACTAGCCCGTTTTATGCTCATCCCTTTAGTCGACCCCCTCCTGCAGATTTCCGGGTTTATCAATGCCTCATGTCCCCGGATTGACAATTCAAACTGTGAAGTCAACACTGTTGCATATTAGAGATTTTAGCTATGAAGATTAGACAAGATGGCAGAATTAAAGGAGAAAAGTGGATGATGCATAGTTCAAAATGAAAAGTTATGCAGACAACGTGGTTCTAACAGTCCGGAATTCCCAGAAACTGTTGCAATATGTAATTGAACATGTTGAAGAATTTGGATCCCTATCAGGCTAGAAAATTAACGGGGGGGGGGGGGGAAGCCCCAAAATAATAATGAACTTTTTAACACTACAACAAGAGATTATAAAGAGCGCAAAGTGCTTAACAGGCACCGATCCTATTAGATATTTGAGAATAAATGGTACTGGGCAAAACTGTAATCTTTTTAAAAAATAACTATCAGAAAAATTGGAAATTGATTCAAACAGTTTTATTAAGATGGAAAAAACTCAAAATCTCATGGCTGGGTAGAATCTCTACAATTAAAATGAATGTGCTGCCAAAAATAAACTCCCCCCCCCAAAAAAAAAATGTTACCCATATACATGGAAGAAATAATATTGAAAACGTGACAAAGAATTTATATGGAATGGCAAAGAAACCAAGAATAAGCTTCAAAATATTAAAAAATGAGAAAAAGAGAGGAGGTTTAGCAGTCCCAATATAAAATTATATTACCAAGCAGCAGGTCTGGTCTGGATTGTGGATTGGATTAAAAATCCAAAACAAAGAATAGTAAAATTAGAATCAGCATATCTTGATGAAGGCCTACACAATTACTTATGGATTAAGAAATCGACTAAAAAGACCATAACACAAAAAAGAAGTCATGTATAATCAGAGATGGACTTTTGAGAATATGGTTTACACATGCTGGAATTTACTGAGCCCCTCAAACTCTTTGCTTATGTCCCCAATAGAAGCTCATTATGATAAGAATATGAGAAATAACTATTATTTTTAACATGGCATGATGACAAACAGGGGAAAATCAGGTCTTGGCAAAATATTAAAGATTCAATGGCTGATACATTATCAGTTAGTCTCATGATTAAAGGAGATCATGAGTACTGAAGGCGGAGTTCTAAGAGATGCGACTGAATTTGTGCAGCTGATTATAAAACAAAAAGAGCATTTACTACAATGGATATATAATATTTTACTCCAGTTAGAAACAGAAGATGTGAAAGAGTGGAAGCAAAACCTTAAAGAACAGATATCTATGCAATGATGGAAATGACTATGGGGAAAAGATATCAAATTTATAGTAAGAGAAAATTGGTACAACATGTTTTCCAGATAACGCCAAAGGATATTGAGAAAGCACATAAAAACTACAAAGGAAAATGCTAAATGTCAAGACCGAGACAGAGCTTTTTCCATACGTGGTGGACCTGTAAAAAAGCAAAAAGATATTGGAAAGAAATACACTGAAAAATGCAGAATATATTAAAGTTTAAATTCCCAGTAGAAGCCAAGAGCAGGTTATTAGGTGGTCTGTTCCAAAAATTTTAGAAGAGGTATTCAGATACATGGTGACAGCAGCTAGAACTATTCATGCAGCAAAATGGGAACTAGATGTCTGCCCACATTTAGAAGAATGAGAAAATAAACTTGCTGAATATGCAGTAATGGCAAAATTAACAACCTATTCAATGAATAGGTCTATTACAAAATGTGAGGAAAGATGGAGTTTAGACAGACAGACAACCTTTATTGGCATATCCATGGAGTGTTTATTATGTGTATTATTCTAGCAGGAGACAAACTTAAAGAGAGAAAATATCATATATGAACGTATGGTGATGAAACAGACATAGAATTAAAATTTGTTCCCAAATATAAATGGGTTCTCTATATGAGATATATAATAGACTTTCCTTTACATCATTGTTTTTAGGTTTTATATTGTTGTTAGCTGCCCTGAGCCACTGGGTAGGGCGGGATAGAAATCCCAAAAATAAATAAATAAATAAATCATGATATACTACTTCTTATCTACTAAAGGTTCTAAAGGATACGTGGAAGTGGCAAAAATATGTTATGTTGAATATGTAGTAATGATGAAACCAGTGTAGTCAAAATAGATTAATTAAATTTGAAACTTATTTATTTATAATTTAAATTTATAGCCTGAATACACATGGCTCAGGGCTGTGAACAACATAATAATAAAACATTAATAAATAATAAAAATGCATAGATAAAAACATTCTCAGCTTGCATGAACACTACGAATTCCAATTATGTCATTGACCCCACAGAAAGATGGGGGGGAGAGGGGGAAAAAGAGGGAGTGCCAGTAAGATGGTATCCATCGCGGTCCTCAACCAAAAGCCTTGTGGAACCTCTCTGCCTTGCAAGCCCTGCGGAACTGCATCAGGTCCCACAGGGGTACGGATGTTTTTGGCAGAGAGTTCCACCGCATGGGAGCCAGGGCAGGAAAGGCCCTGTCTCTGATCGAGGACACCCAGACTTCTTTTGGGCTGGGGATCACCAGTAGATTGTTCTCAGCAGAGCATAATGCTCTTCAGGGGACACAGCTGTCAGATCCCAAGCAGGAGAACAAACCCACGTTCCAAAGAAGTAAGAATTATTTCCAAAGCATGGTTAGTCATGAACATACAGAAATTGTACAGAATGAATACAATACACAGGGGCAGTATAATATAGGAACTTCAAACTGGGTAACCCAATGGGCTCAATTCCCTCGCAGGGGAGTTGATTAGAAAAGGCGCGATGCAGCCTGAGAACTCCAACGGCTCATATCATAAACACAAGGTCAGTTCACACGGGAATCTAATTAAGCAGAGCAAGAAGACATAACACTCCGTCATCCACCTGTAGGAGAAGCTTGGCAGTTACAGTTGCATACCAGAAGAGAATAACACGGGGAGGGAGGGAAGAGGGACACGTCCCCGAGAGATGGCAGCTCGCTGACATACTGCCCACCTGAAAATACCACTTACCCACCGTCTCCCGGCCTGGGCGGGAGATCTCCCGGTTTGCCCGGGAGACCTCCAGGTTTGCCCGGGAACTTCTTGTGAAACGCCCGAACATGATAAGGGGCCCGAATATCCCCTTCTTCCACCCATTCGCGGTGCTGGGGACCGAAATCAACCCATTCCACAAGATACCACAGTTTACCACGTACTGTCTCTCCACTGACACTGACCAGTATCTTTTTTCAACAAACTGACATGAAATACAGAATGCAAAGACTGTAAGGTTTTAGGCAAGATTACATCAACAGCTACATCATTTATGACCTTGCGAACCTTGAAGGGACCAATGTATTTCCAACCCAGTTTCTTACTGGGACGTAATAGTTTAACGTTTTTTGTGGAAACAGAAACCGAGTCACCAGGTTTGACATCCCATTCCTTGGCCCTATGCCGATCAGCTTGCACTTTATTGATTCTGGACAAAATGTCAGATCCCAAGCAGGAGAACAAACCCACGTTCCAAAGAAGTAAGATTTATTTCCAAAGCATGGTTAGTCATGAACATACAGAAATTGTCCAGAATGAATACAATACACAGGGGCAGTATAATATAGGAACTTCAAACTTGGTTAACCCAATGGGCTCAATTCCCTCGCAGGGGAGTTGATTAGAAAAGGCGCGATGCAGCCTGAGAACTCCAACGGCTCATATCATAAACACAAGGTCAGTTCACACGGGAATCTAATTAAGCAGAGCAAGAAGACATAACACTCCGTCATCCACCTGTAGGAGAAGCTTGGCAGTTACAGTTGCATACCAGAAGAGAATTACACGGGGAGGGAGGGAAGAGGGACACGTCCCCGAGAGATGGCAGCTCGCTGACAACAGCTGAGGAGATGGTCCCAAAGATACGTGGGTCCCTGACCGCTCAAGGTCTTAAAGGTCAATACCAAGACCTCGAACCTAACTCGGTACTCCTCCAGAGGCCAGCGCAGCTGACATAACACAGGTTGAATGTGCGCTGTCTGTGATGCTCTAGTCAGCACCTGCGTCACCGCATTCTGGACCAGTTGGAGTTTCCCGATCAGGCTCAAGGGTAGGCCAGCACAGAGCAAGTTACAGCAGGCCAATCTGGAGGTCACTGTTGCATGGATTACTGTGGACAGGTTGGGGAGAGGCAGGAAGGGGGCCAGTTGCCTCACCTGGCACAATTGGAAGAACGCCAGCTTGGCAACTTTTGTGATATGGGCCTCCACTGATAAGGAGGCATCCAGGACCACACCCAAACTCCTGACAGTCTGTGCCAGTGTTAACGGCACACTGTCGAGAGTGGGAAGCTAGAATCATAGAATCACAGAGACGGAAGGGTCCATACAGGCCATCTAGTTCAACCCCCTGCTCAGTGCAGGGTCAGCCTACAGTATCCCTGACAAGCGTTTGTCCAGATGCTGCTTAAAGACTGCCACCTCACCACCTCCCTAGGCAGCTGATTCCACTGTTCCACAACTCTTACTGTAAAAGCTTTTTCTTAATATCCAGCCAGTACCTTCCCGCCCTTAATTTAAACCCATTTTGGCAAGTCCTCTCCTCTGCTGCCAACAGGAACAGCTCCCTTCCCTCCTCTAAGTGGCAGCCCTACAAATACTTCAAGAGAGCAGTCATGCCCCTCCTTCTCCAGACTGAACATTCCCAAGAAGTCCCTCAGCCTTCCCTCGCAGGGCTTCTTGGTCTCCAGGCCCCCCATCATCCTCGTCGCTCTCCTCTGCACCCCCGCTCCATTCTGTCCCCCTCCTTTTTGAAGGGAGGCCTCCAGAACTGCACCCAATACTGCACTGTACAGTGGAACTATGACATCTTGTGATTTGGATGTCACGCCTCTGTTGATGCACCCCAAGACTGCATTAGCCTTTTTTGTCGCCGCATCACACTGGCTGCTCATATTTAACTTTCAGTCCACCCGCGCCCCAAGATCTTGGTGTCCCAACGCTGAGTCCCACCCAGCTACAGAACCGCCGTCTTAGTTGGATTCAGTCTCAGACAGCTCTTTTTCAGCCCTCCCACCATGGCTTCCAGCTCCTTGGCCAGATTTTGTGGGGCCAGGTGTCCCCGACCTTGGAGAAATGAGGTAAGCCACTTCATGACTACCCCACGAACTCCTATGTCGGCAGGCTGGTCAGTCAAAAGATGAAGGGAATGAAAGGGAAATTATTCTCTGTACATGACTGTCTTTGACAAATGTAATGATGTTGTATCCCCACCCCCATTTCCCCTTTTCTTTTCTGTACCCTCACTGTTTTTCTAAACATTTTTTTTTTAAAATACTGTTGGATATTTTGGGTTTTCCAAATATATATATAAAAACGTTTTCAACACTTTGGGCTGTGGCAAAAGATGTCAAACATGGGAGTAACATCTGGAGAATGCACAAAATGGGTTTCTACCTTGGTTGGGTGCCGTGGAGTGCATCAAATGGCCTTCTCCCGCATTTACTAATCCCCAACCTCCTTTACAGTTGCATCCGTCTCTAACTTCTCTGTCACCCAGTATTCCACAAAAAAATACACTATCTGAATGCTTGAACCCTAGCGGCAGTGCAGAAGTTGCAAACACGCCCCTGGAACTGCACTGCAGAATTTAATCAGACGATATACTCTTAAAGGAGGATATGCCAACATGCCTAATCTAGTAAAATTAAAGATACCCAATGAGATATAAGAAGAGGTAGAGAACAGTCTTGGGCTTCAGGAAATTCAAGCATGAATAAATGTAAGTCACATAACAGGAAGACTCTTACCGAAACCCTTCATAGCTTTGCGCAGAACTTCAGCATCTCTCCCTGCATCAAAATTGGCAGCTGGTCGAATTGTGCCTTGAAGATTTTGAACCACTGCTGCAGGCTAAGAATAAGAAATTTCTGCATTACTACACAAAATGTTTGTTTAATGATAACACAGATCTTGGGAGTCAGTCCTCCTGGCAGCCAGGCTGAGCCTTCACCACACATTCCCCACCACGCACTCATTCAATGTATTCATTTTATTTGTTTGAAATCGTCCTATTTTTCTCCAAATAAACATGACTCAAAGCACCCTATGCCAGATACTCTGTCAAAACATATTATAGTTCCAGTGCACCTGCTGGAACAATTTATGGCCAGAGTCCCCGAAGTGTAGAGAAAGCCTCCCAAAGAAGGTACAAGCAGGTCCTATAGGTTCCCAAAGTAATTAAAATATTTTAATCAGTTTGTTGGGGTTTTTATTGGGAGACAGGAGTCTTGAGAAGCAGTTAGTTGGATCGTATATTCTCTCATGACCTGTAGTAGCCTGAAAGACTGTGACGTAGGCCTGATGGGTGGAACCCGTTCCCCGCTATCGGTCCCTGGGCTATTGATCGTTAGTTCTGGCAAAGGTGTTCACCTCACCAGAAGCCATATCTTACCAATAAACCTGATCAAGGACTATTGTGTACAGAGTGGTCACTCCAGGACCTGACGCCTTTTTATAAAGACATATTTTTGGTTTCGTTTAGTACAATTTATTTTCCTGAGATGTTTCTCTTATTCTCTTCCCTACATGCTACAGGTGCTGCATAGTTTGTCAGAAAGTATTTTCAAGGGTTTCTAGTACTGTGCTAGAAGGATATGCTCTCGGAGGGTCAGTCTAGATTTATTTATTTATTTAATTAATTAATTTTCTTTATACCCCGCCCTCCCCGCGCGCAGGCTCAGGGCGGCTTACAGTATGAGGTGCATTACAGCACCATAATACACAATATGGCACACAGTGCGATAAAAACACAATAAAACATTTTAAAACACTTTAATACAATGGGCAAACGCCCAAGGATCCCGCGTGACAAACACCTCTCTCCATATTGCACCTGCAATTTCTTGAGTGGTGGTGGATTGTTACCAGGGTGCTCTCCCAGCACAGTTAGGCACCTTCTTCCCTTCCATAACAATTGGACTGCAAGGGACCAGCCCCTGGCAACAATTGGCATTACAGAAGACAATCAGCTGCCTTTTAGAAAGAGGAAATGGGATCCTCTTGTGTATTGCTGTGTTATTCCTATCCAGCTTGTTGTTTTGTTTTGTTTTTAAACAGACGAGACTCACCCACAGCTCAACCTGCCTTTTAGGGAGGGGAGAGGGGATTGTTGGAATTATCAGCAAACATGCGAAGCTTTTTAAAAAAGGTACAGCCCTGTGCCCTCCATGCTCCTCAAAGCAAACATTAAAACGGGGTGATCCTGAAGGTCACGTGAGAACATTGGGGGGGGGAGGGGCTTGAATGCACATCAGGTGCACACGGAAAACCATGGCAGAAACTGGATTCGCTTCGGCCGTCTGGAATCTCCGGTGCAAGGGCAATTTCATTGGGAAGCCACCCTGGTGTAGAAGCAGCCCTGTTTACTTTTCTGTTCATCAAAACAGTTCACATTCTTTCCCAATAAAAACAACAATATATTTAAATAGTAGTATAAATAACATACCTGAGGAGGTACTGGAGTATGTGTTTGACCACCAGGATACCCAGCTAAAGAAAAGAAGATAACATTAGGGCAATATTAGTTGCTGTAGATTTTCTTGGCTGTACGGCCGTGGTCTTGGCATTGTAGTACTTGACGTTTCGCCAGCAGCCTTGACTGGCATCCTCAGAGGTATAACACAGAAAGACGGAGTACTCTCTGTGTCAAGGTGAGAAGAAGAAAAAATGGTAGGCAGGTAATCTACTCAGGAAGGTGGGGTAGGGCTGAGTCATTCTCTTGTAGGAGTTCCCCAGGCTGTGAACATGCTAATGGAGGAGCTTTCCTGAGGAGGTTCTTTTGCATATGGGCTGGCTGTTGAAATTCTAATCTTATCTGTAGTGCTATTGTAAGATGTAGAGCATAGCCTAATTCAAACAGGACACAGTATCTTATTTCAAGACACTGAAATGCTGGACAACACATCCAGTTACCATGTCAGATTACACAGGGAAGCCATTGAAGTTCATAAACATAAACACAATTTCAACAGGAAAGAAGAGAGTTTAACAATAAATTGGGCATGGTTTCCAGTCCTGAAAAACATGCACTACAGATAAGATTAGAATTTCAACAGCCAATCCACATGCAGAAGAACCTCCTCAGGAAAACTCCTCCATTAGCATGTCACAGCCTGGGAAACTCAGCCCTACCCCCACCTTCCTGAGTAGATATAAATTACCTGCCTACCATTTCTTCTTCTTCTCACCTTGACACAGAGAGGACTCCGTCTTTCCGTGAAAGCCTTTGAAAACATATTAGGGCAATACGTTCAATAGCTCTTTTTATAGGGTCTGCCATCAATTCAAGATAATTCTTGAACTACAACTACAAATTTCCCTCCTGAGTAACTCCCTACAGTGGTGTTCAAAGCATGCAACACTTGTGAAGGGACATAAGAACATAAGCATAGACATGTGGTGGCCCACCGAGCCCCACGTCCTGTTTCCAACAGTGGCCAGTCACAAAAGCCAACAGGCAGGGCCCACAGACCACACCCCTTGCTTGATGGGTGCATCCCAGTCTCTGGCAACCAGAGGCCTTTTGCCTCCGAATCCAGAAACCCCACTTGGCTACTGTGACTTTGTGTTAACTACTGTGATGTTTTAAAAATCAGAGGGCTGGATCAAAGAGCATCTCTAAGCTAGGGACCTTCAGGGAAAAGGCCGCCCCCACCTAGGACCAGGAAGAAGAGGATGAGGAAGAAGAAGACCAAGTCCTATGGAGACAAAGTCCTACGAGGAAAGGTCGAAGGAGCTGGGTGTGTTTAGCCTGGAGAGGAGATGACGGAGAGGTGATATGATCACCATCTTCAAGGACTTGGACGGCTGTCATGCAGAGGATGGTACAGAGTTGTTTTCTGTCATGCAGAGGATGGTACAGAGGTGTGGCCCAGAAGGTCGGACCAGAACCAGTGGGTTGAAATTAAATCAGAAGAGTTTTCGGCTAAACATTAGGAAGAACGTCCTGACAGAGCGGTTAATCCGTGGAACAGGCTTCCTCTTTGGAGGTTTTCAAACAGAGGCTAGATGGCCATCTGTCAGCAATGCAGATTCTGTGAATTTAGGCAGATCATGAGAGGGAGGGCAGGAAGGGTTGCCTCAGGGCTTAGTTCTTGTAGCCCTTTCTTTATACGCCCAGGAAATGCTGATCACCACTTTGGGGTCAGGAAGGAATTCTTCTCCAGGACAGTGGATTTGGGGGGGGGGGGATTGGCATCTTCTGGACGTGGAACAGCAGTCACAGCGGGTGGGGTTAGGGTTAGGGGGCTGTACTAGATGACCCTGGAGGTCCCTTCCAACTCAACGATTTGAGGAGGAGGAGGAGGAGGAGATTGGATTTATATCCTGCCCTTCACTAGCCGAAGGAGTCCCAGAATGGTTTACAATCTCCTTTCCTTCCCCCTCCCCACAACAGACACCCTGTGAGGTAGATGGGGCTGAGAGAGCTCTCTCGAGGACTGCCCTTGAGAGAACAGCTCTGAGAGAACTTGTGACTGACCCAAGGTCACACCAGCAGCTGCATGTGGAGGCGTCGGGAATCAAACCCGGTTCTCCCAGATTAGAGTCTGCGCTCCTAACCACTACACCAAAGTGGCTCTTCCTAAACACGACACCAAACTACTTATGAATCCTGGGAACCACAGGAGGCACACACGTGGCCTCTGTATCCATTCTGGGGATCTTTCTTGGTTGAGATGGACCACTGACATTCTTCTAAGAATAAGTCGCAATGCAGGCTTGACACTAGCAGCCTTCGAAGCACACAGTTCGGTGCCCAGGGGCACGCCATGACTTCACAAGCTCTCTTCAATTCCCTTCCCTCCTTACCCATGTCAGTTCCCCTCTTAGCTAATGTTAACTAAGGCACAGTGTTAAACCAGCACTGGTGCTTGCCTGGTGAATGGAAGCTGTTTTCTTTCTATCCATGTTTTCACACTGTCGTTTACAAGCTAAATAGAGAAGCAATGAAGTTTTCTCCAGCAGTGTTCCCAGTAAGCTGTGCTTACCCCGGGACATGGATTTCTATTTTGGCACAGAAACAGCAATGCAGGGGTGAGGCAGAAAAGGACAGGGCTCCTTTAAATAGAGACCCGAGAAGAAAAAGCAAAACTGCCTTTAGCAGGAGCATCTCTAGAGAGTGATGGTGGGGGGAGGATTCTACCCGGCGGTGGCCTGTGCCCCCTCCCAGCCGCCCTCCTTCCTGCAGCGGCACAAAACCTGAGCCCAGGATCAGGGCGGGGGCAGGGGAGTGGGGTCCGGAGGGAGAAAAGGGCTTTGGCCAGGCTGCCCAGCCACCCTCCTTCCAGGGCTCGTGGAATGGCTTGGAGGACTCTGCACTTAACTGTGGCTCTGAGGCCTGGAAACTTGCTGGTCGAGCCGTGGGTGCTGCATGCGGCAGTGCGGAGGAGTCCTTCGGGGGTGGGAAGCCGGGAGTGCAGCAGGGAGGCGGTCGCCCACCCCCACCCCCCTTTGCCTCTGGGAGGCCAGGGGGAGAGGGCCAGCCGGGCCAGGGGGGAGGGGTGCGGAGGGCCAACATGGCTCCAGGGAGGGGGCTGTTATGTATGCGGGCCGCCACAAGGGGTCTGCGGAACAGGCCAGAGCTTGGATCCGAGAACAATGGAAACTGCGGATCCTGGATCCCCCAGCCCCAACCAATAGCCACTTTGGCGGGACATTCAAACCCTCCAATGGGAATGGGGGGTTGCTGGGTGGATATGTATATAGTTGGTCCTGTCGGGCCGGTAGAGTAGTCTTTTTCTGTGTTAAGTACAATAAACGTGTGCTAAAGCATGTCGTCGTCTGAGTCCTCCATGTGGCGAACCCAGTACTTTTCAGGGGCAACCCTCACGCAGCCCACAGGGAGGGAGGGCCTGGGGTAAGCTGACCACCGGGGGGGGGAAGAACCAAAAAAACCCCACCCTCCCCTTTTTTCCTCCCCGGGCTCCATGCATGCGGCGCAGCAGAGGTCGTGGGAGCGGGAGGCAGGGAGGGTGGCAAGGAAGCGATCGCCCGGGCACCCCCCTCCCTCCCTCTACTTCTTTGGGAGGCTGGTTGCGGTGACCACGGGGGAGGCTGGAGCCTGCTGCGGGGCAAGGGGTCCCTGTGGGGGGGGGGATCCCCAGCGTGGCTGCAGCATTCGGTTAGTTGCGCGAGCAGGGCGTTGCCAGGGGAAGCAGGAAGCCAGGGCCTTCGGTCTCGCCTCCTCTGAACAACTAGCCCAGTTCTGCCACTCACCCCTGGACCTCCACCCGTGAGAGGCCCCCCCCCCCCGCAGCCCCCCCCCAGCAGGCAGCCCTCCGACAGCAGTGGCGGAGGGAGGGACAAGAGGCCAAAGGAGGAGAAGGGGGGGTTGGGTGGGGAAGTAGGAAGCTTTCAGGAGGGTACTCAAAAGGAGTCTCTCTCTGCAGTGGGAGCGGAGAGTCAACAACAAAACTCACTCTCCGGTTTCTCGTAAGGGAAGAAGCCACTTTTGGATCCAACCTATAATTTAATTCTCTATAAATACCGCATTCTGCTAAGTGGCTGTTAAGAAGGATGGTGAAATTTTGCCAGCTGTAATCCCATTTTACACGGAACCATTTCTTCTTGGGGTTTCAGACTGTTGCCTTTCCTTATTTTGTGAGGTTTGATTATATCTGAGCCCGGACCACTCGCATCTCTCACTCCACCCCCCCCGGCCCGCCTGATTGTGACTGGAGCCAGTTTGGTGTAGTGGTTAAGTGCACGGACTCTAATCTGGGAGAACCGGGTTTGATTCCCCACTCCTCCACTTGCAGCCCGCTGGGTGACCTTGGGTAACCACAAGTTCTCTCAGAGCTGTTCTTTCAAGGGCAGCTCTCAAGAGAGCTCTCTCAGCCCCGCCTACCTCACAGAGTGTCTGTTGTGGGGAGGGGAAGGGAAAGGAGTTTGTCAGCCGCTCTGAGACACCTTTGGGTAGTGAAGGGTGGGGTATAAATCCAATCTCTTCTTTAGCTACGGTCAGTGGAAAGGCCTCTGATTTGCGTTTCGAAGGCCTCTGGTTTGATCCCTGGCCATGCTCAGTGGAAACATCTACACATAATGACCTGGGTGGCAAAGCAGCCCGCTGGGCTTTTCTGTTTGGTTGTTACGTTTCTTTCACGGGGTGCATATTTTTCTTCAAGATGCCTGCATCCCTCCCATGCTGCCATTTCCTCCAGAGGGAGCAATCACTGTCATCTGCTGATCAGTTGTAATTCTTGGAGAACTCCAGGCTTATGTTTTACCAGATGTGCTCCATCTCAAGCTCAAGCCTCACTTGTCACTTGGTGTGGTCTACCTTGCACTTGGACTCTGTGGCCTCAGGGGTTAACTGCTTTCTAAGAGGAACTTGGTCCTCTGTGTTTGTCTACATGCTGTTTATCTTTCTGGCTAGAGTGTCAGCTTATGAGGCCCTGGGGAAGGTATGATCTCAGCGCCCACCCTGACCTTGGGTTAGGGTTAGTGGCAGGTGCGGGGGTGGTGGCCTTTACGGAAACTTTGGCTCTTTGGCGGGCTGGGTGAGAATACGGATCGGGTATTGTGGCTCGGGGGGATGTCTCGTATGTAGTCTAGGGTCGGTCCTGGCACCCGGGTGTCAGTTCTGACACAGAATCTGTCCATACTTGGAATCTCTCCACTTCTCAATAAACAAATCTTGCTGATAGAAGAGTGTGGTGAGAGTGACTGCATCCGAGACCTGACACTCCACCCCTGGAAGAATTGCCATAATGGACGAGAATATCTGCGCGTACCTGGTATTTGCGCTGGTCCACCTCCTCCATAAGTTTGTGATAGGGGCTGTGGGTAGCCAAAGCTGGAACCATTAGAGGGCGCCCCAAACCCAGAACCTGGGACAAAAAGAAGATATATATGATGCCACCGTAGCCAAAAGAAACACAAACTGTAAAAACTCATTGTGTTACACTTTGAATTACCTTATTTATTTACTTCGTTTCTACCTGGCCTTCCTCCCCAGTGGGGTACCCAGAGCCGCTTCCGTCACTCTCCTGTCTTCCCTTTTGTCGTCACAATAACCTTCCATGGCATGCACGAGTGGGGGACCTGAAACTGGGCCCCCCCGATCTAACCTGCTCCACCACGCCGGCTCTCTTCCCTTCCTGGTTTACAGTGCCCTCGTGCAACACTTTAATCATCTAAAGTTCACTTTACTCATCTAAAAGGTTTCGTCCATATGCAGCTACATTCATTCAAAGTCCAGGTCTGCCTCACAGGTTTAAGTTAAAACGGCAGGACTGCAGGGAGAGCCCAAACCCATAAAGCTTAATCACGAGATACAGAAATCTTTGCATGGGCAAGAACTGATCCCATTCCCCCAACATCTCTGCTGCTGCTTCCACGCACACCAGCCCCGATTCTCACCCTCAGCAGCCAGCAAGTCTTCCTTCAGGTGCCCCGGCCATTAGAAGCTAAACGGGTGGCAAGCCCAGAAAGGACCTTCTTGGTTGTGGCACCTAAACGATGGAACCGTCTCCCCAGGGACACGCGGGCCCTCTCTCCTCCCATCACTGTCCCCTGCCAGTAGGTGGAGACTTTTTGTTGCATTTTATCGGCCCTCCTCCCTGGTTGCATTTGTTTTTATATCTTTGTATTGCATTGTTAAATATTTACATATATATTTTAAAACACTGTTCTAATGTTCAAAGTGCCTTGATGTTCGCTGCCTTGGGGCCCTACTAGAGGGGAAGGGTGGCACACAGATGTTTTAAATTAACTAATTAAGAAACACATGTGATCTTACTCCACCAATCTCCCTATCATTCCATATCATCACAAAAAAACTGACGATTTCAATAAATTTATTCAGTGGAGTTTCTAAGACTTCAACAGCTATGATTTAGTTTAGAGATACCGGCCAACTCCCATTCTTTCCCGAGGGAACCACTAGTTGTTTCCAACATGTTGCAACAGACTGCTTTGCGGCAGTAAATAAACTGAACATGAATTAACATTAATTTAAACATTAAATTAGGAAATACACATGACTTTATTCCACCCTATCATTCCATACGATCACAAAAACAGGCCCCATGGGCACGTTAAAGTCTGCCGGCTTAGAAATCAAGGCTGAAATTTGACATCAAATTCTACTAGGCATTTGTATCATAGAACCATGGAATCACAGAGCTGGTACCCCCAGCTCAGCACAGGACCAGCCTCGAGCATCCCTGACCAGTGTTTGTCCAGACGCTGTTTCAAGACTGCCAGGGAGGGGGAGCTCACCACCTCCCGAGGCAGCTGATTTCACTGTTCCACAACTCTGACTGTAAAAAAGATTTTCCCTAATATCCAGCCGGTACCTTCCCACCCTTAATTTAAACCCATTCTTGCGAGTCCCTCATCCTCTGCTGCCAAAAGGAACAGCTCCCTGCCCTCCTCCTCCAAGTGACAGCCCTTCAAATGCTTCAAGAGAGCAATCATGTCCCCCCTTGACCTCCTCTTCTCCAGACTGAACATTCCCACGTCCCTAAGCCTTTCCTCGTAGGGCTGCTTGGTCTCCAGGCCCCCCAAATCATCCTCCTCTGCACCCATTCTGCCCACCTCCTTTTTGAAGGGAGGCCTCCAGAACTGCACCCAATACTGCACTGTACAGCGGAACTATGACATCTTGTGATTTGGATGTTATGCCTCTGTTGATGCACCCCAAGATCACATTAGCTTTTTTAGCTGCCGCATCACACTGGCTGCTCATCTTTAACTTTTGTTCCACCCTCACCCCAAGACCTTGTTCACACACACTGCTACTCAGATACCCATCCAGTAGGCACGTTCCTCATTTTTGTTACCCAGATGTAGAACTCGGCACTTATCCTTGTTAAATGGCATCACATCTGCCCACTTTTCCAGTGTGTTCAGACCTCAATTAATTCTATCTTCTGCCGTGTTTGCTGCTTCTCCCAATTTGGTGTAATTTGCGGATTTAATGAGTAGCCGTTTCATACCCTCATCCAGATCATTTATAAAAATATTGAAAAGTACTGGGCCAAGGAACAGAGCCCTGTGGCACCCTACTGGGTACCTCCCTCTATTCAGATGAAATGCCACTGGCAAGTATTCTCTGAGTGCAGTTCTCCAACCAGTTCCCTATCCACCTAACTACCCTAGAGTCCAGTCCACAGTCCTCTAGTTTACCCATCAGAACATCATGGGGAACCCTGTCAAAAGCTTTGCTGAAATCCAGGTCAACAACATCAACAGCATCCAGTAAGCTCGTCACTCGATCAAAGAAGGAAACGAGGTTGGTCTGACAGGACCTGTTGAGGACAAATCTGTGCTGACTTCCCCGGATCACCAAGTTGTCCTTTAGATGCTTGCAGATCGATACCTTTAAAATCTGCTCCAGTCTCTTCCCTGGGACAGAGGTCAGACTGACTGGCCTGTAGTTTCCTGGGTCATCCCTCCTCCCCTTTTTTTGAAAATTGGGAAAATATCTGCCCTCCTCCAGTCTTGTGGGACGTCTCCCATCCTTCAACAGGTCTGGAAGATCATAGAATGTGAGAGTTGGAAGGGACCTTGCAGGTCATCTAGTCCAACCCCCTGCACTCTGCAGGAGCAGAGCTGAACGAGAGCCTTACATACCTACAACATACCCAAAAGAGGGTCGCCCAGCCTCCACTTGAAAACGTCCAGTGAAGGAGCACCCACCACCTCCCGAGGCAGACTGTTCCACTGCTCAACCACTCTGACAGTTAGGAAGTTCCTCTTGATATTTAGCCGGTAACGACTCCCTTGTAATTTCCACCCATTAGACCTAGTCTTACAATCCGGAACAAGAGAGAATAGATCCGCTCCATCTTCTACATGACAGCCCTTCAGATACTTGAAGACTGCAATCATGTTCCCTCTAAGCCTTCTCTTTCCCAGGCTAAACAGATCCAACTCTCTTAGCCTTTCCTCGTAAGACTTGGATTCCAACCCTCTTACCATCCTGGTTGCCCTCTTCTGGACACGCTCAAGCTTGTCAACATCCTTCCTAAAACGTGGTGCCCAAAACTGGACACAGGACTCCAGGTGAGGCCTGACCATAGCAGAATAGAGCGGGACTACCACCTCCCTTGATCTGGACGCAGTGCTTCTGTTACTGCATCCTAAGATTGCATTAGCTTTCTTCGCAGTCACATCGCACTGCAGGCTCATGTTTAGCTTGTGATCAACCAGAACACCTAGATCCTTTTCACATGTGCTGCTGTCAAGCCAAGTCCCTCCCATTCTATATCTGTGCCTGTGATTTTTTTGTACCTATGTGTAGGACTTTGCACTTCTCTCTATTGAAATTCATTTTATTTGTCTCAGCCCACTGCTCCAGCCTATCTAGATCATTTTGAATCCTGACTCTGTCTTCTTCAGAATTAGCCATCCCACCCAGCTTCGTGTCATCTGCAAATTTGATAAGCATCCCCTCTATGTCTTCCTCCAGGTCATTTATAAAAACACTGAACAATACCGGGCCCAGGACCGAGCCCTGTGGCACTCCACTCGAGACTTCCCTCCACGTAGATGCAGAGCCATTTACGAACACTCGTTGGGTACGATTTTTCAACCAACCATGAATCCATCCAACGGTTGCATCGTCCAGCCCACATTAACCAGCTTATCCTCAAGGATATCATGAGAGACTTTGTCAAATGCTTTACTGAAATCTAGGTACACTATACCCACAGCAAGATGATGGACAAAGGCTCTGCAAGGTTTCTAGAAAGTTCTTTGAGCACTCTTGGGCGTGTACCATCTAGCCTGAGGGATTTGTACTTCTTCACTGCAGCCAGGTGCTTCCCAACTACCTCTCTGTCCATGTCAACCAGCAGCCTGGACCTACTGCTATCTCTAGATGAGCCTGTTCTTCAGGGGGGGAAAACAGAGGCAAAATAGGCATTAAGCCTTTTTGCTTTCTCTATGTCCTCAGTCGGAGTTTCTCCATTTCCACCCAACGGTGGGCCCCTCACCTCTTTTATCTTGCGTTCGCTCCTCACATATCTAAAGATTTTCTTGTAGTGAGCCTCCCTGGCCAGCTGTAGCTCACTGTGAGCTTTGGCCTCTCTGATGGCTGGCCTACAGTGCCTAGCAACCCACAGATCCTCTTCTTTGGAGGTATGTCCTTGCCTCCATTTCTTGAACATTTCCTTTTTCTCCCTTAGCACATCACGCAGTCGTCTGTCCATCCACACTGGCTTCTGGGATCCACTACCCTGTCTCCTTCCTGTTGGAACAGCGAGGGCTTGAGCTTGCAAGAGCTCTTGTTTTAGGGGAGCCCGCCCTTCACTCGCTCCTTTCCCTTCCAGCAGTCTGGCCCATGGAATGGTTCTCATCATGCCTCTGGGTTTATTAAAGTCTGCCCTGCTGAAATTTAACATACACGTGTGGCTACGAACTTCCTTGGTCCTTCCTTGGTATCAAATGCAGTGACCCAAAAACATGCAATGCATCAGCCTGGGACAGAAGAATAATCACCTAAGAGAATCTGGAATATGACATACAAGCGGGGACCCGCAAGGACCTCCCCCCCTCCCCCACGGTTTCCTCTTTCCTTTTGCCGGAAGCCCCCACAGCCTTTTCCCTGCCTCCTCCTCTCCTTCTAGGGGCCTGGAGATCTCCTGGGATCACAACAGATGGCCCAACTCCAGAGGCCAGGTCCCCCTTCGAGTTGCCTGCTCCAGGTTGGGAGACTGCTGGATATTTGAGGTGAAGAGCCTTGGGAGGAAAGTGACCTCAACAGGGTATAATGCTAGAGCCCAGCCCCACTCCAGGGGAACGGACCTTGGTCATCTGGAGAGCAGCTGCAGTCCCTAAATCTAACGACATTAACAGCACGGCCACATTTCCTTCTTTTTTACCACCAGATATATATGCTCAATCACAACAGAGCAACACATTGTTTTGCACAGTACCTGCAGGGTAAGTTGGCATCCCACCAGGCTGAGGAGCTCCAGGGTAGCCACCGGGTGCGGGTGGATATCCACCAGGTGCAGGATAACCAGCGGCCCCTGGGAATCCACCTGCTGGTGGAGCAGCAGGGTATCCACCACCTCCCATAGGCGGGAAACCTCCAGGTACGGTGGGGTAAGGATACTGCCCGGCAGGTGGGAAACCGGATTCTTGCCCTGTAGGCTAAACACAGCAGTAGATACAGAGTTAGCAAAAGAGATCTCAGGTTAAACTCCCACACCCCATAAACTCCCTTGCATGCATCTTTAATCGTTTAATAAAAGATTCAGGTGGGATAGCAGAGCAAAGTCTGAGTCCAGTGGAGGCACCTTTAAGGCCAACAAAGTTTTATTCACAGCATAAGCTTTCATGGGCAAAGCACACTTCCTCAGGTACAGTGGAACCAAACCCCCTGAACCATTACTTATGATGGGGGTGGGGTGGGCTTTAAGAACATAAGAGAGGTGCCAATGTTGGATCAGGCCAATGGCCCATCCCGTCCAACACTCTGGGTCACACAGTGGCCAAAAACACCAGGGGCCATCAGGAGGTCCAGCAGTGGGGCCAGGAAGAGCCATTTAGAGTCAAGATGCATAAGTACTGGGTGGTTATATCTGAGATAGGATTCACAGATCTTTCTGACATCCCATCTCAGCTATAATCACCCAGTACTTATGAATCTTGACCTTAAATGGTCCTTCGTGACAACAACCTCCACTCCTTGTAAGTAATGGTTGAGGGAGTTCTGTTCCACTGTATCTGAGGAAGTGTGCCTTGCACACGAAAGTTTATACCGTGAATACAACTTTGTTGGTCTTAAAGGTGCCTGACTGGACTCAAACTTTGTTCATTTAATCTTGACCTTAAATGGTCCTTCGTGACAACAACCTCCACTCCTTGTAAGTAATGGTTGAGGGAGTTCTGTTCCACTGTATCTGAGGAAGTGTGCCTTGCACACGAAAGTTTATACCGTGAATACAACTTTGTTGGTCTTAAAGGTGCCTGACTGGACTCAAACTTTGTTCATTTAATAAAACAATAACAAGTTTTGGCAATGAAGACCTTCAACTAAGCAAATGCACTGAAAGAAAACATTGAAAATCTCATTTCCTTTCCCGAAGTTGGGTAAAGGTTAAATAAATAAAATCCAAGTCCTGTAACTAGTATGTTTGGGTTACTGGTTGCAAATCTGATCCAAACAGTTCATGCCATAAACGCAGAATAAGGTTTGATATAAGCAAATTCAGTATTCAGTTGGAGGAGCACTTCGAATAGAGAGTGCACACGTGACATAAAAAATTCCTGCGGGCTACACAAGACACACCATCTGGCAGCTGTTCCGTACCACTTGATGAAAAGTACAAAAAACTGCATTGATGCAAAGAGCAAAGTCAGTTGGAAGCAGAGATATTTACAGTGTAATCCTACAGAGCATTACTCCAGATTACTCCCAAGGCGGGATACAAATCGAAGGTAAATAAATTTTAAAAAACAGGATCCAAACCTACTATTCCGCTGGCGTCATGGCCATCCTGCTGGTGGGGTAGCACTCCCATGGGTGGAGGAGAGGAGGGAGATTTTCAATGATTCCCCTCCTCCACTGAAACCTATGTCTATATCTTTGGATTTTCCCGCCAGAACCTCAGTTCTGACACGTTACTGTTCTAACCTGGATCAGGCTGATATCTCAGTAAACAAATCACTACCAAAGAGAGTGTTGTTGGGAGTCTCCTGACCAGGAGTCTGACAATGGTGCAGGAGAAACAGAGGCAGGGAAATCCCAGCATTACAATATTTTATGTTTTTCATTAATACCCCATTTTTCTCCCAAACTGGGATCCAAAGCAGCTTACAACATCCTTGGCTTCTCCATTTCATCTGCACAAAACCCCTGGGAGGTAGGTTAAAGGCTGATAGTGTGTGACCGGTCCAAGATCACCCAGCCAGAGACTATGGCAGAGGAGGGATTCGACACCCTCGGGCACTGCCTCAGGCGCACTCAGGATGAACAGCAGAACAGGGTCACCTTGGAGTAACTGTCCCCACAGCCAGGCAGGAAACACTGATGGCCTTGTTCAGAGCACTAAGACATTTCAGCCGTTTGTAAGGAAATGCTGCTATTATTATTGTTGTTGTTGTTGTTAATTTCCATTTATGTAAAATGCCATTTTAAAGTGAGACTGGATATTTTATTTATTTATTTATTTTAAATACTGTGCCAAATAGGGTCGTCCCCAAGGCAACGGACATCAAAAGACCAAAAGTATTTCAACACTAAAACAGCATTTTAAAATAAAGTATATATAAAATAAACAATTCAACAAAAACAGATCCACACACAACTTCGCTAAGAACACAACCAGGTAGGAGGGCCAATAACAGTACTGGGCCTGGTACTGTTTAATTTATTCATAAATGAACTGGAACGAGGGGTGAGTCGTGTAGTGGCCACGTTCGCAGAGGACACCAAATGAGTCAGGGTGGTGAAAACCAAGGCTAACGGTGAAGCGCTCCAAGAGGGTCACCACAAACTGGGTGAGCGGGTGACAAGGTGGCAGAGGAAGTTCAGTGCTGGTAAGCGTCAGGTGATGCTCACTGGAGCAAAAAGAATCCCAACTTCAAGGATAAGCTAATGGGGGGGAGGGGTCTGAGCTGGCCGAGACGGAAAGGGGGAAAGTTTGCAAGACTTGAGCAAGGCTGCCGTTAGTTAGCTGTCAGGTCACAACGGACATGGCCATCCTGTAGGGTTTCCAGGAGCGGTCTGCCCTTGCCTCCCTCTGCGTAGCAACCCTGGACCTCCTTAGGGCTGTCCCACCCAAATACTAGCCAGGGCTGACCCTGCTGAACTTCCAAGATCTGAGGAGACTATCCTGGGCCAAGCGCACGGCGTCCTTAGACCGTAATGCAATGCACTGCAAAGACAGAATGTCAGAGTGCACACGGCTGCTTCATTCAAACAACTGAACTGTCATCCACGAATTGATATTTTCTGCTCACTGGTGTTTAAGCATAAGGGCAAAAGATAACACACACAATAAACAGTGAAATACACTGCAGCTATAGTCCATTTATCAAAGCACCCTCTTGAACAATTCCATTTGACTGCATCGCACGAGAAGACTGCAGGTCATTGTTTCAGTCCAAAACCTCTTTGATCACATCCCACACAACTCATCAGGAAGCACAGAGGACCAGGCCAGCCATCATCCACACAGGCGCTCACTGAGGACCACTTATGTAGCTACTGCATTTATAGCCTGCCTTTCTCAATGAGGCTCAAGGCAGATCATGGAACCAGAAGCCAATGCAATAAAACTAGTATCATACAAACAACAAGCAATACAATGAAAACCATGTAATACTCAATGGTCACACTACAGTGTGACACAGAGACCTAACCCAGGAAGTAGCTTAAATGAGAAGTCAGTTAATACTTACAGGATAACCAGGAAAAGCCGGGTAGCCGGAGGGAGGATATCCTGGGTATGACATTCTGTAAGAGAGGAGTAACACCCGTGAGAATTTCTGCTGAGCATCAGCCACTCCCTCAAGCAGATGCTCTCAAGGACATGCAACAACGCAACACAAGGAGAAAGTAGATACGGGGACGCTGGGAAAGTTGGTCAGTTGCCCTATCAGCCAACTACCCCTACACTGGATTTATCCTATCTCTCCCTTATTATAATTGAGTAGTGGGCACCAAAATTCTAAAATTGGCCCCTTTAGTGTTAGGCCGGAAGAACTGCCACTCAGAAGACACTGGCTGGGTTGACTGGCTGCTTTGTGCAGTCCCGCCCAGCGTTCCAAGGTCATTTGCATATGGAAGCTGATTGGACTTCACTCCATTCCACACCTCAAACTCACCCCCCCC